GCATGTCCGTTTGAGTCATTAACATGATAAGGGACATGATTGGTGCATATATGCCTTGAATTGTATTGCCATGCTCTGCCTTGCCCTCTGTTGCTGCCAATTGTAGATTCTATAGGAGCTTTCTGCCGACCGGCAGTGCTAAGTGCCGACCGGCAATCCTCCCTCTGCTGATAGCTTCACCAATGGTCGGTGATCACATGCCACTGCCGGTGGGCATTCTACCCAGCCGATGGCATTCCCCAGTATCCAGAGAAGCAACCCTGAGACTTTGGCAGCCTCCAGAGGAGTACATCAAGGAAAACAGAGGCAGCCTATGCATGGCGGTGCACTTCCGAGCAAGATTCGAGCACGCATTGCTTTGAGCTCTCTTCCCGAGGCGGTTTATTGTTTTCCCTAGCTTAGTTAGTTTGTTAACTAATTAGGTAATTTGTAATAATTAATTAGCTTGTAGGTTAATTATCTGTATTATTCTTTTGGTCCCTCCGAGCGAGGACGAATCTGTAATAAGTGTGGGTGAGTGTGTGAATGTCTTCCCACCCCCACTTCTTTCTTCCCTTTTATTTACCTGCTTATGATGGTAGATTAGGGCATCTTTAAAATTAGCATACCTTATGCAATGCATGCGTGCATTCATACATTTGCCTTGCATGCACCAGGCTCGGCACATCATTCTAACTGCATTTGTACTTCAATTTCAAATTGAATACATGATAATTGTAGCATTTCGCATACCATGTTTAGGTTAGCCGAGCCTATCTAATTGCATCCTGTATGTGTTGCATTAGTCAACTTGACATGAACTAGGATCACGTATGTTTGCTAACTGATTTATTGTTTTGGCACGGAGTACGATGTAAATATTTATGCTTTAGCATCATCGCATGCGTGTGAATGCTATCATGACAGTATGCTTACCATGTGGCTAGATGCTTATGTGTTATAAACTGTTTAAATGCCTGTGGGTGAAGGTTGGATTGTCTGAGTTTGAAATCCGTATTTTAGCCTACTTGCGAGTAGCAAATTCCAAAATATTTTTCCAAAACAAACGGATATGCAATGCTTGTTTCCAAATTAGACAATCTAGTCTATACTTGTTTGCTTCGCGCATAACGTAGTAATTCTAGGCTAATAAATGGAATAAGAACACATAACGTTTTCAAAAACGGATATCACGGTTAGTAGAGGCCGATCTTCGGATCGGGCGAGAGGGGGTGCTCATAGCTGACCTTCCCTAATCGTACCCTAGCTCCCGAGCCGAGGCAACTCTGGTGATGACGGACATGTGGCCTTCGGCACCGAGTCTGGGTTTCCTAAATTCCCCCATAAAAAATATTTAGGTGGCGACTCTGTATCTGGCGAAGCAGTCCATGTTTGGCACTTCTTTTTCTAAAAATCTGTTTCTCAAAACGATTTGCCAGATTTGGACTCTTTGGTTTAGATTAAGAACCGTGACACAAATCGAGTCCGAACTGTAGTGAGGCCCACACGGGCGCGTCTACACAAACCAATGTAGTTCAAGAGCATAATACAAAAGAAATGCAATTGATAATTAGACTCACATGCTACGTGAATCCAATTTTATTTCAAAGTTGGGTTTACGTGTACCACACTGCTGATTTGAACATCGATGGTATGCGTTGTAATAACGATAAAGATGCAAAAATGGCACATGAGAAAGGCAAACCTCATGTGAATGACCTGAAGCATGCTAACAGTTGAAAATGCAATAAAGAATGTCATTTAAACATATTTTCTACATGAGTGATATAAAACGAAATGCACAAACATGTTTTCTACATGAAAGAAAGAAATGCAAATCCAAACACACTTCATGCGAGAAGAGGAAGGGTGATCGAGGCCAAACACATTCCAAACATGCCGCGATGTGAGAGGAGGAATACACTCTAATCACACTAAAATCGCAAGAAGAGGAACACACTCTAACTGCGTTGAAATCGTGAGAAGAGGAACACATTCTAATTGCACTAAAATCACGAGAAGAGGAACACATTGTAACTGTGTTGAAATTGCAAGAAGAGGAACACAACACTCTAACCGCGTTGAAATCATGAGAAAAGAAACATACTTTAATCGCACTGAAATCATGAGAAGAGGAACACAACACTCTAACTATGCTGAAATTGGGAGAATATGAACACACTCAAATTGCGTTGAAATCATGAGAAGAGGAACAAACTCTACTTGCACTTGAATCGCAAGAAGAGGAACACAATCCAATCGTGCTGAAATTGCGAGAAGTTGAACAAAACACTCTAACTGTGCTGAAATTATGAGAAGAGGAACACACTCTAATCACGTCGAAATCACGAGAAAAAGAACACACTCTAATTGTGCTGAAATCGCGAGAAGAGGAACACACTCTAACTGCGCTGGAATCGAGAGAAGAGGAACACACTCTAACCGCGCTAAAATCGCAAGAAGATGAACAAACTCTAATCGTGCTGAAATCGCGAGAAGATGAAGGGTACTAACCAAGAGGCAACAAAGGTGATGTTAACCGACAACCTTAACCGTACATTCGTATAGGAAAACGAAGGTATTAACTAGGAGAAAGAAAACCAAACACCCCTTATGTGTAAAGGGTAAATATGAGACCCCTAACTTTTGTAAACCCTATTAAGTCCCTGAGATTTTATAATAAAGACCATCAAAACCTTATTTGTATTAAATTTTGGCTTTACAGTCAAAAACGTGCGCCAACCGAAAGCTCGCAAACCCAAAATTTAACTTAGGAACTCGGGAACCATTTCGAAAACCCTAATAATAATTAAATTAATTTTCTAAGTATATTTTCCGCACAAAAATCCTAAGTTTCCGATTCTCATTACGATTCACCGTTTAATTTGAAATAAAGGAACTTTAACCGAATTGAATTCACAAATCCTAATTAAATTAAATACTACATAAATGTTCCAATTCATAAATTAAGGCCTTAGCTCTCACACTTTTCTTGAATTACAAAATGAGCCAAGATAGTACTTTTACACATATATACATGCACATTTGTACCTTAGATTTATTTTGTACACAAATATCCGGTAATTAGATACAATTTGTATACAAAAATCAAAGAAAAATCTCCCCAAATCCAATTACTACAGCTAGCCACCCCATCTTTATATGTATAGGTGTACTTTTGTGATCAAATCTAAGATATGAAAGGATTTAGAAAAATATGGAAAGCTTATTGAAAGATATGGAGAATATACGGAAAGATTTTGCACCTTTATATATATATATATATATACATACTTGTAACAATTTTACTAAATAAATAAGTTTGTACGTGAAGATCTTTATAAAATATGCAATTGTACACAAAATAAATTAATAAAATCTCTCCAAATCTTCATCATGGCTAGCCAGCCCCCAGGCTATAATGAGAATCAAATCAAATATTCTCTAAAATCATGAGAATCAAATCATATATATATATATATATATTATACCTTATTTCAATCTTTGTCTACAAATATTACATCCAATTGTACACAAATTCTCCAAATCTGGAGCACATGGCCAGCTATTTTTCCCTCCTAGGATACACTAGGATCTTCTAAGATATACTTAGGACAAAAAATCCCTCAAATCTTGGAAGCCATGATGAACATAGTTCAAACTAGATTTTGATAAATATATGTATATATGTACTTGTAACTAGAAGGAACTTAATTAATCCTAAACCTAACTATATTATAATTATGTACATAATTAAGGTCCTAATCATCCCTCATTCCATTACATTCAAACTAAATCAAGGCACTATTCAATTATATTGGAACTAATGGGCATTTTAGACTTTTTGCACCAAATTCTTTATAAATATACAACTCACCCTCATTTGTTGAACACATACACACTCACCCACACTACCCCACGACTGAGGAAAAGAAAAAAAATTGAAAGAGAGAGCTTTGGTGGCAGAGGAAAGGAAAAAGAGAAGAAATTGTGCAAACATCCTAGCTAGGCAACAAGTAAGCCACAACACAACCCTCTCTTTTATTTTTCTTTTTCATATACATGTTATTAGAGGTTCTAAATATTATTTTCAGATGTACTTTAATGATGTTCTTGTGTTAAAAGTGCAAATAATTGAGCCTTGTTCCACACTCTCTTATGTTTTCTCGTAATCAATACAAAACTATCTTTTTCTACACCAATATCTCATAATTTCCAAAGGCACACCTTCAATTCAAATTTATGAGCTTAACATATATTAATTATTATATTTTCATCACAATAAAAGTGAAAAATTATCTATGGTTACCCTCTTTGCTTACTTTTTCTCTTATTTCAAGTTTTTTGCTCAAAGAACCCGTTTTTCAAACCAGTTGCAAAAATTCTATAAAAATGCAAAAAAATCTCCTTAATCTCAGTTTTATGTCAAAACCTTTATTTAAGTGTTAGACATTTAAAAAAAATTATCGAAAAAGAGTGAGTGGTTTGAGAGGAAACTTGATCTTCGTAACAATCGACAAATTTGTACAGTGCTGGAGTATTTCTTAAATAACAAAAAATCTAGGAAAGCCATGACACTTCTAAAAGATGTTCTCAAAACTAGATAAAATTCTCTACAAAAAATAGGAAGGCCAAGTTTAGAAAAAAATCTAAAAGAGTCTCTTTAATTGTAATCTTTAAAGTGAACCAAAGCTAGAAATTTACTTTGTTCACGAACTTATGTTCTTAAATTCATAGAAATGTGTATTGTCACCTGTTCATGACTTGTTATAACATTTGCATATATTATAGTTATGTTTCTTACCATAATGATTGGATGATGCTCATGTTTATGTGGATGTTATTGTCTTAATAAGTTGTTCTAACTTTAATACATCTAACTCAACAGAAAACTTAATTGGGGGCAGTATTGGGTTTTCAATCACTTGAATAATGAAGAGATGATAATGTGTAGTATAGAAGAAAGTGGAGCTTTTATATATCAATATGTTAAATCTTGTGTTTCGAGGTTGATTGCCTTAATTTTGATGAGACTGCTGGAATTGATAATCAAATACCATCAATTAATTGTTTAATTAATAAATTGATTATTGGAATTAACATTGAGCTGGAATGGAACAGGAATCTGTATAGCTTAGGTAATACAAGTGAGATGTTTTCAATTGAAGTGTGCAGAAATACTTAGCAGCCAGAGATACTTCCTGTATGTTTTTTAGGGAATGATAGACCACAGCCCAAGTTGATGGAATTACATCCTCTCTCTTGCATGGTGGGGCCCACCCATGTGAGGAGGAAATCTGTGGAACTTTTAACTTGGTCTGTGGATTCAGTGCCCTTTTTTATCCCCCCACAAAAGCAACTCCTCTCGCAACATAAAATAGTTCCTTCCAATCAAATTAAGTTCCAGATAACTAATAGTACCAAAAAACATAGAAACTGCTAGTCCTTGAAATCTTATCAGTTGAACTCTACATAAAGTTCCAAGACCATTAAAAGGAAAAGAGAAGGAAAACACTTGACGACTTCCCAGTTGACTGCAATTTGTGGGTTTTATTGATTCGTTATTTGTCTAGATGTAGATTTCAGTGGTACTGGTTTGTGGTTACATTTGTGAGCATCATCTTAACGCTTTTTCTCTAATAATAGGTTACTTTTTATTTATCAAAAAATAAAAAAATAAAAAAATTCCCAGTTTGACTGCAGGATGAGAATTTTTATTTACATCCCCATGGTTTGAGCGTATATTATATCACCAGCCCTGTGTTTCTTTTGACTTTCTCTGAGGATAAATGTGCAAGGATATTCAAGTATATAGTCCTGAGGTTTTAAAAAATGCTATAGCATGAATTACTGTATCATGAGAAAGTAAAGAGCTTCATCAAGCATGTACTTGGCAAATTTGAATTTATTTGCGTGTTGTTTCACGATGAGGAGGGGTGAGTGTCAGTGCGTGCTTGTGTGTGTGTGTATGTGTGAGAGAGAGAGAGGTGGTAACATTTGGTCCCTGATAGTAGTGAAATGAAAATCAATTATGTCCTATCCATTTGGATAGAGTGAAAATACCATTCTTTTGGTTTTTGTTCCCGTCCTCATTTCCCCTTTCATTAAATCAAATGTCTCCCTATGTGAACATAAGATGTTAAGAGGTTATGTCAATCCATTGATGGAGGCGAGGCCCCAAAACTTTGTCACATCAGAATTTCATATTTTCTGAACAAAAGTTATTATGAGCCGTGATATTTTTAACCAGGACCTATTTACTTGGTCAACGTTGGTCATCTTCGGCCTTTTTTGTTGGACTTAAATTCCAACGTTTCTGACGGACAGTGATGAGGTTTTAACATAGTTTATCATCTTTTCCAGTTTATCTAGCATTGTTTAATCATGGACTTGAGAATCGTGATGAACTGATGCATGGTTTTTGTCTTGACAAGTTTGATTTCATTTCCGTGATTGTGGCAGTTATAACCTATCTGCACTATTATTTGCTTCTGAAGAATCGGTTCTTGATTTTTCAGGTCCCACTCAACAATATGTTTGGGTACTCGACAGCTCTTCGTTCGATGACACAGGTGAAGGAGAGGAGCAATATACACACATATGCATATGCATAATATTTCATTTCTCAACTTGCAATTAATTGGGATGCCATTGATCTATATTGTTGATCAGGGTTTTAAATATCGTTGTACCGTTGTTCTTGATGTATTGGCTGATACTGTGGATATATGGTAGTATCGCTGTTCTGATACATATCCCGATGCCGTTATTTAAAAACCATGTTGTTGATGGTTGATTTTGCGCAGGGTAAAGGCGAGTTCACGATGGAATACAAAGAGCATGCGCCGGTTTCTCAGGAGGTGCAGATGCAACTAGTGAACACATACAAGGCAGCCAAGGCAGCTGAATAGCTGTGGTTTTGTTTGAAGGCCACACTTGCAAGGTAATCTAGGTCATGCCTTATACACTTTGATAGAGAGTCGCATGTATTTTTTATTTTTATTATTATTTTTATTTATGGTTCTAGATATCCTGGTATTTGTGAGGCCAAAATTTTGGTCAATAATTTTGAGGAGCCCAAATAATGTAGTTCAACATTTATTTGGTTATAGTGTGAGGCAACTGTACTTTCTGATGTATCACATATTCAAAGTATTCATAATTTTTGTTGTTGCACATAATACATATGGCTATAAATTTTCGGGTAAAAGTTTTCTTTTACTCCCTTGTGATTTTGGATTAGAGCATTTTATCCACGACGTTTAAATATAGTACGTAAAAACAGCTGTGCTAGAGGCCTCGAATTCGAGGTCTCGAATTTGGCTCGACAACCTTTTTTCTTTTTTTTGGGTGGTGGCCGTGTGTTACAGTTTTTTTTTTTTAATTTTTTCAAGGGTGGTTTATGTGTAGGAATGTGTCAAAAAATTAGACATTCCACACCAATTCATCGTATAAAATTATATGAAATTAACAAAATTTAATCAGCAGCCTAACTAATCAGTCAATTTTATCACTCAACCAGTCTAACCTAATTGACTGATCAGTTAAGCTGTTGGTTAAATTTTGCTAATTTCATATAATTTTGTACGATGAGTTAGTGCGGAATGTTTAGTTTTTTGGCACACCCCTAAACATAGTTACCTTTAAAAAAAAAAAAATACCAAACCAACATAACTCAACAAATAAAATAAAATAAAATAAAAAAACCAACATAGCCCAACAAATAGAAAAAAAAAAGAAAAAAACGCAGCCTATGTAGTTTGATAAGGTGAGTGA